ACCACTGCTGCCAAGCAGCAGCAGCAGCAGCAGCAGCAGCAGGCGTCGAAGGTAGCGGCAGCTGCGGTGAGGAGTTTGCCCCTGTTGCTAGTGCTACTGCAGTGCTCGGCTGCTGCAGTGCTGCAGCAGCAGTTGAAATGCTGCTGCATCCAACCTGCTGCTGCTGCATGCTGCTGCTGCATGCTGCTGCTGCATGCTGCTGCTGCTGCTGCTGCTGCTGAGTGTGTTCAGGATAGCGACTGGGAGGAAGACAGCAAAAGAAAAGGCAAAAAGGGACGGGGCGGCAAAGCTTCAGGTGTCTCTTCACCTCAGCCTGCTGCTGCTGCTGCTGCTGCTGTAGTTGCAGCTGCTTCTGTTGCTGTTGCTGCTGCCCCTCTTGCTGCAGCACCGGCCAACAAGGCCCCTCGTTCGAGTCTGTTGCTGCTGAGGCGTTTCAGGAGGAAAGCAAAAGGCCGCTTTATCGTCTGCGCAGCAGCAGCAGCAGCAGCAGCAGCAGCAGATTGTGGGTGTGGGGATGGAGGATATCGATGCTGCTGGGATCGCCTCTTGGGACACGATCCCAGCGCATGCAAAGGAAGCCTTTTGGGGCTTGCTGCAGCCTCGGCTGGCCAAGGTACGCATGCACCACGCACGCGGCAGCCAGTGCAGCGGCAGCATCACCAGCAGCAGCAGCAGCAGCAACAGCAGCAAGAGAGCGGCTTGAGGGAGGTGAGGGAATTGCTTGGGCCAAAGATGAACAGGCACAAAAAACGGAAACACAAAAAAAGGCAAAAGAGACAGACTAGCTTTCAAGACGAACTGCTGCTGCTGCTGCTGCTGCTGCTGCTGCTGGGGGCCCCTCTGTGTCGTCGCAGGCCTTCGCTGCAGCAGTTGCTGCTTGCCAAGCTTCCGTGCTGCAGCAGCAGCAGCAAAAAGCAGCAGCCGAGGGAGAGCTGCTACAGCAGCGATATGAGCTGCTGTGTCTCGGCTTGAAAGCTCTCGAGGTGAGAGCTTGTAATTCTGCTGCAGCAGCAGCAGCAGCAGAATTAGCAGCAGCAGCAGCAGCAGCAGCAGCAGCGTACGCCAGCATCAGCGGCAGAAGAGCCAGTCAGCAGCAGGGGTAGGCCAGCTACCACATGTTTTAGGTTCCGGTGTTGCTGCTGCTGTTGCATTGTGCGGGTTTGTAGGAGCAGCAGCAGCAGCAGCAGCAGAAGCCAAGTCCGCTGGCAGCATATCTTTTCAAGTCTCTCGTCTTTGAAATCATCGACAAACTTATTGTTACAGCATTCAGACACGCCAACGGTAATTTGCTGCTGTTGCTGCTCTCTTGCAGTAGCTGCTGCTGCTGCTTTTGCTGCTGCTGCTGCTGCTTTAGCTGCTGTTGCTGATTGCGCTGCTGTGGCTGTGCCGCCGA